TTCCACTTCTGCCTTCTCCAGGACGACTCCCGCCCTCTCCGTCTCTCTAATCGTTCTCTCAGGGCGGCGTCCCGGAGCGCAGCGGCTGCGTGCCGGTCGCATCCGGCGCCGCCTGGCGCAGCAGCGGCAGCCGTGCATCGCTCTCGCTGGAGCCGGCGCCGCGCGACTTGCCGGAGCGCGAGCTTTCGGCGATGGACGGCAGCGGCGACGGAGAGCAGCTGCCGCCCCCCGCCGAAGGGGCTGCCGCCGGCGGCAGCGGCGACGGGCTCACGTGGATCGCGCTCGCCGTGGCGCTGCCGCCGCAGCTGCTGCTGCCGCCGCGCGGGAGGCCAGGCGAGAGCGGCGGCGGTGGCGACGCCCCCTGGTCGTGCGGCGGCCCGCCTCCCGGCGGCGCAGACGCCGCCTCGCCAAAGCCCGCCTCGAGGCGCGAGACGTCGACGTGCTCGGCGCCTGCAAAGAGCCGCACGTCGCCCTGCACCATGTGCTCCTGAGGGATGCGGAAGAGCGCCTACGCGCGCGCACCCGCGCGCGGTCAGCCGGCGCGCCAGACGGCGACCGCGGCTCTCCGGAGGACAACCTTCATCTGCTGGTGCTTGCGCACGAGCCCTGGCGGAGCGGCGCGGCGACGGGTGCGCGGAGGAGGGGGAGGAGGGGGCGTGGGCGGCGACGGCGCCGGCCCGGCGTGGGAGGGCGGGCGAGGGCGGTGCGCGACCTAGGAGCAGCGCGAGGAAGATGCCGCTGACAAAGGTGGCGGCGACGCCCATCTTGATCCACGACATGGTGATGGCGGCGACGACGAGCGAGAGCAGCGAGAGGCCATACATCACAAAGATGGAGTGGCGCTGCTTCATCATCACCGCCACCGCGCGCTCGACCGAGCCGGTCGGCCCCTGCAGCGCGAGCCGGTGCCCGTACACCGTCGCAAAGCTGGCGACGCACACCGTGTAGAGGGCGAGGGCCATGGTGAGCGACGCAGAGCCGTAGTAGACCGTCTCCATCCAACGCAGCTCCGCCTTCCACCGCCCGCCCGGCGCGAGGGCGGCGCGCATGTCGTCCGAGATTTCGAGCTCGACGAGCGAGTCAAACGCAAAGCCGGCGACGATCGACGCCTGAGTCGCAATGTTGGAGTAGCGCTCGACGTAGTAGTCGAGCTCCTTCTGTCGCAGCGCGAGCGCGTTCTGTTTGAGCGCGGCCACCAGCCGGTCCTTATCGGCAGCCAACATGCTTTCCCAAGGGTGGACGGAAGTGGTTCGACGACGAGTTCGACGACGAGAGCACAGCCGGCACAACAGGTCTACAGGACTCCGCGGTCGCCCCCTTCGACTCCGACGACCGCTTTCTCCCCATGTCCTCGCGCCCCCAGCAGGACCTGGAGGAGGACCCGGCCCTCGCCGAGGCGCTGGACGCCGTCCCCCAGAACCCGTCCATCCTCAAGGAGCGCAACGCGCAGCGCGCCGAGCTCACCCCCGACGCCGCACCGCCGACGCGCTCAGAGAAGAACCTCCCCTCGGGCAAGGCCGAGAGAGGCCACCTCGTGTCCCCACTCTCCAACCACGACAAAAAAACTCTTCTGGGAAGAATCCCCAAAACCGCGACCTCTATGAGAGATGCCCTCAAAGCCTTCTGGCGACTCGGAATAAAACAACATGTCGACGTCCTCAAAGAAAAGGAGCCCGACTCGCTCCGAGCACTTCCTCTATTCAGGAACTGGCTCTTTGAACTTGTCAAACCCAGGGCTAGACGCAAGGTCGAAGCTCGCTGGGCGACGCTCGGATTCACCGCTCTGGGCGACCTATTCAACCAAATCACAGGCGAGCCCCTCACCCGACTCGAGCTACAGAGCGAACTCCGCCTGAAAAACCCTACCATCGCCCCAAGGGCGCAAAGGCGGCTAGCCACAAAGCTTCACACCTACTCTGGTTCGATCCCAGCCGACATCAAAGACTTTCTCCGCCAGAGCCGCCCTCCCTTTCGGAAGGGCGACTATGCACAGCTGATCGATGATCTCGGATACAAAGTTATTGGCGTCTTCACCGACCACAACCGACTATCAGAAACCCGCAGCGACGCGAGCGGCTGGTGCTGGCCTTACGGAACCCCCCACGACGTCTCCGAATGGGACAAACACCAAGAGCTTGAGAAGGTCGCAAAGTGGGGGCACACCCCCAAACGCTTCCAGCCTGTCGCGGGCCGCCTCGCTGACACCTACCCTCTAGACCACGGATGGACGTGGGGAAACCACACACACTGCCACCACCTCTCGGAGCTAACCATCAAAAGGATGACTCGCCTCTTCACCGATCTCCTTACGAAAAACACCAAATTTGCATCTGCTCCCCCGAACGCTCAGAGCAAATGGAACTCCCTCCTCCAGAGACACCTACCCTTCCCCGACATCCCCTGGGACGAAATATGGAAGTCTCTCGGAAACTTCCTCCTGTCTC